AGACCGGTCATCTCACTGGGATGTCGTTAATGGGAGTGGCTCTGGCACTCTAATGCCAAACACAGTAGAGCCCATCATCTGAGGCCAGAAACTACAGTAATCAGACCAACCAGCTAACTTCTAAACAAAGGTTGTCCTGTCTTGTCTCTACAAGTACTTGGCCTTAGGCTCCTTCCAGCAGAGTGCAGCCTCTGTTTAGGAGTTGCAGAATACTAAAAGCTCCACAAAATGTAAGCATGCTTAAGTATTCTTCTATCAGTGATAAATGGTGCAACCTTATGTTTGGCAATAGATTCCTAGGTACAACATCAAAAGCATGAGAATTTTTTTTCTTTTTTGGTTTTTCAAGACAGAGTTCTCTGTAGCTTTGGAGCCTGTCCTGGAACTAGCTCTTGCAGACCAGGCTGGCCTCGAACTCACAGAGATCGGCCTGCCTCTGCCTCCTGAGTCCTGGGATTAAAGGTGTGCGCCACCACCGCCCAACGAGAATTTGTTTTAATTTTAATTAAAAAAAACAAAACGGAGTATGATAACAAGTACCTATAGACCCTGCTACTGAAGAGGCTGAGGCAGGAAGATCACCTGAGCCCAGAATTCAAAACCAATCTGAGCAAGAAACAAAGCAGGACATGGTAGTTTCTTTCCTGTAATCCGGATACTCAGAGGCTAAGGCAGAAGACCTGTCAAGAATTTGAGACCAGTCTGGGATACATACAGAGCTCAACGCCAAACTGGGCCACAGTGAAAACTTATCTCAAACAACACCAAGACCATATACAATGTATTTTCAGTTTGTTGCATCTATTTATTTGCATATGTACATACATGAACAAAATGCCATGGCCCTGTGAAACACGTCAAGGTCCTGAAGAAGTCAGCTCTCTCCTTGCACCTTGTGCATTTCCCAGGCTTAGCAGCAAGCACATTTACCCACTAAGCCATCTTGCTGGCCCTATATTCTTTACTATATTCAAAGGAAATAAAGAATTCTTATAATTCAACAATAAGGGGAAAAAAACTTAAGTGAGTAAAGGCCTTCACTTTCCTCCAAAGACACACAAATGAAAAACTCCTGAGAATGTGCTTAATAGCATTGGGCATTAGGAAACCACAAACCACAATGAAATACCACACCATATCCAACAGGGTAACTACAATTTAAAAAAAAAAAAAGCAGGCAAGCATTGGGAAGAAGGTAAAGAAGCTAGAAACCCACGGATAGATGAAAGAAGTTTAGTGGAAACAGTTTGGAAACTCTTCAAAAATGTAAGAACTAACATATCACCTAGCAATTCTACTCCTCTGGATAAGCCCAAAAGAAGTATAAACTATTATTCATATAAACACATGTACAAACATGTTTGTGATAGCAATATTCATAAATCGAAAAGTAAAGACCAGCAGAGGTATGGCTTCACCCCCCGCCCCCCCCCTTTTTTTTTTTTTTTTTGGTTTTTCGAGACAGGGTTTCTCTGTGGTTTTGGAGCCTGTCCTGGAACTAGCTCTTGTAGACCAGGCTGGCCCCAAAACTCACAGAGATCCGCCTGCCTCTGCCTCCCGAGTGCTGGGATTAAAGGCGTGCACCACCACCGCCCAGTATGGCTTCAGCTCTTAAGAGTGGATACTGACTTGAAGAGGGACACAGGTTTGGGTCCCAGTACCCACACTGGGTGGCTCACAACCGTCTGTATCTCCAGTTTCAGGGGATCTGTACCCTCTTTTGGCCCCCAAGGGCACCTGTATGCATGCTGTACACATACAGACAAGCAGGCAGGCACACAAGCACACAACATACACACACTATATATATGTGTGTGTTTTAAAGTAGAAACAACTTATATATCCACCAGTAGGTGAATGAATAAGCCAAATACCATGCACACAGAATACATTTTAGCCATAAGAAGGAATGAAATGATCTTGCAAGGCAGATGAAGTTCAAAGGCACAAAGAAAGGGTAATAGTGTAATTCCATTGATACGAAACAGCAATAACAGGTAAATGCCAAGAGAAATTATGTTCTTAGCTGACAGGCTGGGAGGAGGGCAACACAGAACTTAACATCTAAGGTACCCTTTGGAGCAATGAAAACATTTTGGGATTCAACAAAACTGGCATTCAATACTGTAAATGTAAGGAATGCTGCCGGATTGTCAATAAAAGTAGTCAATTTTAAGTAAGGAACATTTCGCCTTGATTTAAAAACAAAAACTATACCGTGGGCAGGCTTTGGCCTGCAGCACTGTCCGCCAAGATTGTCTACACCTATAATAAAAAGCGTGGAGCCAGGATAGGCCGAGCAGGCTTCACCTTGAGCTGGTGACCAGTATAGATGCTCAGGCCACACCCAGGCCCAGACTCAGAACCTACACTGAACAAGCTCTCCAGGTGATGTCACCATATGAGAAGCATTGCCCGAGGCGCGTACCAAAAACATGAGCTGGGCAGTCCACGTGAGCATACATACATAGAATGCTTTGCATACATAGAAGGTTGACTGAAAGCCCATAGCCCACTAACCGAAACAGGAAGCAGAGAAAGCCACTGACCAGAGTCCCACCCAAGGGTCTGTTGGTCCATAAAGAGAAGCAAGGAGGTGTCTCTTGAAACACGACCTGAGTGCGTGCAAGACACAACCCTGAGGAAGGAGTGGAGGACAGCCAGGCAGAGAGTTCCACGCAGCTCCTATGTGGGGTCCCACAGCCCCAGAGGGACACAGAGTAACTTAGAGCTGTCACTTAAGAAATGTCCTTACAGTGGAGGGATATGTGCAGAGGGAGGTGGGCAACCCAGACCCTGAGTCCCCAGGTCTGATAGGTTTTCTCATTAACCCTTTAAGATTTGGGTTTCTTCTCTGTAATGAATAAATAAATAAATAAATAAATAAATAAATAAATAAAGGCCCAATAATCAGTTTCACAAGAGAACATTAGGAAGGTGAACTGAGATACACAGTAAATCTCATGACCACCCCATATTGCACAGGGCCACAAGTCAGGGTCATCTAGGAAGAAGAAACTTCAGCTGAGAAAACGCCTCCATCTCATTGGCCTAGAGTTAAGTTTGCGGGGCACTTCTTTCATTATTATTAAATAACCGATATGGAAGGGCCCAGCCCACTGTGGGCGGTGCCACACCTGGGCAGGTGGTTCTGGAGCCTGTAAGAAAGCAAGCTGAGCAAACCACGGTGTGGAGCAAGCCAGTAAGCAGCATGTCTCCGTGGCCTCTGCTTCAGTTCCTGCCTTCTTGCCTGCCTTCCCTTCCTGATGGGGTGTGGCTGGAATGTGTGTGCTGTAACAAACCCTTTCCTCCCTAAGCTGCTGAGCTCATGGTGTTTTATCACAGCAGTAGAAATCTACCTAGGTCTGTAACACTAAGATGTTACAGTGCTCTATACGGTTGTGAGAGCAGATGACACTGATACCCACTCTGCTCAGCCACGATGTGCCTAGCCCCAACTAAGCAAGCACGCTTTGGGAAAACGGACGTGCGCCCCGGCTGGTGACCCCCAGAATCCTGGGACAAAGGGCAGAGGGATAGTCCTGCGGCTCATCCTAGATATTAAATAAGTCCCTCATCTCTTGAGAAATCAGTTACAAACAAGTCACTGCCTAGAATTCAGTCCCTTCCAGGATCAAATGCTACAGGAGTCCAAGGTGAGAAGAAGAGGCGGTACCTAAGACACTCTATTTCACTTATGACAAAGGGAGGCACCACAGATTCAACAATTCTCTCAAGATTAGACATTCGGGCAACGAGGCATCCACACACAGGATGATCCCAGAAAATTCCATCTCTGATGCTGTCAGCCCCAAGCAAACTGTAGCTATCACGTGCGTCTCTATCAACCTAAAAACTTTCTACCTGAACTAGGGCCCAGCTTTGTACCACGAATCATGAAGTTACTTAGCACTGCGGCAGGATCTCTCTTGGGGAAGCCACCCACCCTCAGTTCATCCACCATTACGGCCCCAACTTGCAAGGTACAAGGGGCACATGACCAAGCCTTATTAGCAAGGAACAGCTCAAGGAAGTGCCCTAAACATGAAACTGACCTTAATCTTAACCCCAACCAAAGATGAACCCCCAGGCCAGACTGTCATAAACTGAGGAATATTCTAACCCTGATGCCAGCTCCATCCCTTTGCTGCCCAATGTCACTGCAATTTGAAACAAGAAATGGGGACACTTCAAGTAACGCTCACAAAGAAAGGGGAGCCTGGGGCTCCATGTTCCACAAAGAGTCACAAGCAGAAAAGCCTACCCAGAACATTAAGGGATCCCTATAGCTAGAAGGCTTTGCTGTAGCCAAACAGCAACCCTTTGCTGAAGGAGGGGCCCACAGTACCCTGCAGACTTACTCACCTGTACCCAGGATGAGACAGCCGGGCTCCAGAAACAAACATACATGCACGCGCACACACCACACCTCTCTCTCATACTTTTTCTGTCTGTCTGTCTGTCTGTCTGTCTGTCTGTCTCTCTTACACACACACACACCAAAGCATAGGCTGGAGCCTTCTGCCTGCCAGTCGTGAAGCAAAAACTACACATGCAGCTTCTGGTCCTCCTCCAAGCGCTCATACATATGCCAAGTTTCTTTTATGCGCTACCTGCTGGGAGCTCAAACCTTCTGTGGAAGGAGATAGCCGCAAGCCTATTCCCACTTCTGTCTTCATCCTCGCCACTGTGTCCTGCTCTCTCCGCAGGTTAAAGCTAAGCACTGCCCTAGCACACAATGGGAAGCACAGAGCCCATTCTAGATGTCGCCCACCGGGGTCCGTGCCATCACAGCCTAGAGCCCAGACCTGCTCTAGGCCCCAACCAAAAATTCCGTTCGGTCCCCACAAGCCATTTTTCATTGCATTCCCGTGTCTGCAAGGGCCACTAGCAGACAATCGCCTTGGAGTATGGAGACCCTGATACACCATCAGGGTGTATGACAGGCTTATGACAGCCACAGCACATTCAGAAAGGATCTATGGGTGGGCAGAACTCACCGACATCCGAGTCTTTGTGGGTCTTGATTACCTCAGCAAGCTCAAAGTTCCCTGCAATAATGGCCACCTGGGAGAGAGAAATCAACACATGGAGGGCAAGGAGGGAGGCACCCCAAACCCCAGGTGCTCCTACTGGGATCTTCCCAAAGCCACCCTTCTCTCAAGTCACAGCAGCCAATGTCTGTGGACACATCACTTCTACTGGACAAGAGACAGGATACCAGCAGCTGGGGTTGGCCCATTGTCCTCCTCTGCCTAAGTCCAAGAGTGCTTCTGGGACACAAGGCTTAGAGTTAAAACATGAACAAACCCGAACCCAACAGTAGAACTTTTAATCTGCCCCATATGCAGCCACGATTCCCATATCAATCCTGGTCCCACAGCTTCTCAGCCCTCATTCTTCCTACCTCTGTCCCCAAACCTGGCCCATCTAATACACCTTGGTGTATCTACTTCCAGATGTGCCCAAATCTTCAACCTCTACCTTACACTCACAGACACGGCCTTAACAGCTTGCCTTTCTAACATTCTCAAGGGCCTGTGCTCCCATTAAGAATAATATATACATGCTGGGTGGTGGTGGTGGTGCACTCTTTTAATCCCAGCACTCAGGAGGCAGAGGCAGGTGGATCTCTGTGAGTTCGAGACCAGCCTGCTCTACAAGAGCTAGTTTCAGAACAGGCTCCAAACCTACAGAGAAACCCTGTCTCGAAAAACCAAAAATAATAATAATAACAATAATAATAATAGATACCCCTTTCCACACTGCTTTCATGGTTCGTAAATTCCCATGATACCCTCAACTCCTCCAAAACTACCTGGCTATCCAGTGCCAACCAGCCTGGCGACTAACAGTTCAGAAACATAACCTGGGTCAAGTCAGGTGTAGCGGTCACATATCCCTCTCAAGTCCTCTGCACTCTTGCCTGCTTCCAGGGAATCAGGCCAACCACACCTGTCCATTCGGCCCTTCCCCAGAGTCCTGGAGTCATATGGCATTTATCCATAGGAGGAGGGTAGAGGCAACCACCACACTACAGAGATGTTTTATTTGTATTTTAATAAATAAAGCTTGCCTAAAGATCAGAAGGGCAAAGCTAAGCCACTATAGAGGTCAGGCAGTGGTGGCACACACCTTTAATCCCAGGATTTGGGAAACGGGCAGATGGATCTCTGTGAGTTCAAGGCCACCCTGGGCTACAAAAGAATAATGCAGAAACAAATCCAGGTGGTGGTGCCTCACAACTTTAATCCCAGCACTAGTGGGAATATTAAATGGGAGGAGAGAGGCTTAGTTAAAGTTTCTGGCTGCTTAGGCTGCTTAGTCTGCTTAGTCTACGGTCACCCAGCCTCGGTAGAGGAAAGACTTCTCTAGTGGGTTGGCTGCTTTGCTTTTCTGGTTTTCGGGTTGAACTCCAACATCTGTCTCTGTGTTTTTATTATCTTTGCTACACCACACCAAACATTCCCTCAAACTCTGAGCACTCGGCGGCAGTCCTCAGAGCGAGCACTCCCTCCTTGCCCTCTGAAGAAGAATCCAAGTTCAAAGTCAGTAAAACACACGAGCAGCCCCCTGGGTCAGTCTTACACATCCTGTACCTGGAAGGCCGTCTGGCTGTTGTAATTGCGGACGTCCTTGTTGGCACCACGGAAAAGCAGGACACGAGCGCAGCTCTCCTGTTGGGAGGCAAAAACAATCACACTGGGCCGCAGAGAGGCAGGGCCAACCACGGCAGGTACACACGTGGATAGGCATGCGCAGGTGTGCAGGGCACAGGAATCGCACACACAGAGACGCACGCCTGAGCTAAGCAGGGCTATGTGCGCAGCTCTCAACAGAGAGCTAGCTGTTAAGAACATACACGCAGACATATTGACACATGTGTGTTAAGAAAACATACATGTTTAAGTAGGCCACCCAGTAACCAGACCGGGCACAGAACATACACACGAAGTGTCACACAGGCTGGGATGTATGTGCAGGTATACAGTCACACTTTACTACACACAGAAAATGTAAATGAACCTGAAGGGGGTGAGTCTCAAGGTATACCTGGTTGTAGAGGGCACAGATGTGCAAGGCTGTGTTTCCCGAGGCATTCTGGGCACCCATGTTGGCCCCATAGAACAGCAAGTGCTCCAAGTGCTGCACGTGCCCAAAGCGGCAGGCCTGAGGAGAAGAGAGGTGTTGAAGCATCCCAGACAGAGGCCTACAGCCTGGACCCAGCCCAGGCCCCCTTGCTCACCTGATGGATTTCCTGCCAGCCATTCTCATCAGTGGTCCCCAGATGTGCATGGTCATGAAGCAGCAGCTCACAGCAGAGGGCATCCCCGCCCCCTAGGGCACTATGGTACAGGGGCGTCAGGCCGCGGCTGTCCTTGTAGTCAGGTGAAGCCCCCAGGTCCAGCAGGGTCTGAGGATAAGGCACCTCAGGATCCATGCCAGGCCCAGCCTTCTGCATGAGCCCGTGAGTCCCTCCAGACCAGGGTCCTGCCCTCACTAACCGTCAATGCCCCTGCATTCCTCTGGCGGGTGGCGCAGTGGACAGCTGTTAGCCCATCACGGGTTCGGAAGTCCAGGTGAGCACCGCCATTGCGAAGAACCTTCAGGAGGTCAGTGGCATTGTCCAACTGTGCCGCAAGGCTCAGAGGGCACTCTGGGTTTAGAGATAAATAAAAGTTAGAGTCCCAGCCGCTCAAAAAACAAAAACAAACAAACCAGCCCCTCCCTGCTCTTCTCCTACCTCCTGAGTCAGGGTCATGAAAATTGGGGTCCAGCCCCTTGTCCAGCAGGCGGGCCACCTTGTCTGTGCTATGTAGCTGGACATAGTCCATGAACTTCTTCAGGTTTGCCTAGAACACCAACCATCCCAATCAGTGGGGTGTGGCAGTCATGGTCATCTTCCCATCACCCCCTTCCTCCAGCAAGCTCCCGACCGCCTGTAAGGCATACACTGTCCCTAGCCCCATTCTGTCTAACCTGTCTGTTGTCTTATTCATCTTCGACCCCATACTTTTACCTCAACGCCAATTCCATCTTGGCTAGCCCCTTGTGCTTTCAAAGCCTTTCTTACAAACCCAGCCTGAGCCTCACAGCCAGATCACCTTAGTCACAGACCCCAATTGAGTCCCTTCCCTCAGCCTAAAAGAACACTGAGGCCATTCTAACAGGAGCCGAATGCTAACAACTCTAGCCTCATTCCTCTGACCAGCTCCTCCTACATTCCGTGGTAGACCCCTGGAGCACCCACAAAGTGACTTTGTCTTTTCGTCCCTCACCCAGCAAAGCCTCACTAGCCTTGTCTGGTGGCATAGTGTCCCCACCCAGGCATCTAAAAACAACGGGTATCATAGACAGGAGAGGGTGGGTGCCTGGTGGACCAGTATCATGGGGTCAGAGTGACAAAACCAGAGGAAGAATCTACAAAAAATCATCTAGGAAGAACATTAAGACAGCCTCGAGGTCACAGGGGAAGAAGGTAGGGACAGCCTGACCCCAGGCAAGCAAGAGGACAGGGCTGTAGGGAGGAGTTCAGACTCGTCCAAAACACAGACAAGACTCACTGAAAAGCAAATCCCTCATGTCTGTGGGCCTGAGAAAAGATCTAGAGAACCCAGGATGACAGGGTCACACAAGGGCCAGTGGAGGCAGACAGATACCTCTCTCTCTGACGTGGTCTCTGCCCAATACAGAGCCAGAGCCACTGACTGTCACCTGCCCTGGAACAGCAGAAAAGTCTGACAGAAGCCTAAGGATCTAGGACCTTAGGCAGGGTCACTAAGTTCCATTCCGAAGCTCCAGAGACCATCAGCGAAGTTCCCACAAGCAAATTCCCATTTGCCCGCAGAGCTGGCGGACTTGGAAAAGGCCTAGGACACCCTCCTTGCCCTCTGGACACCCATAAGAGTGAAGTGCTCCCTCAAAATACAAAAGAAAAAGAAGCAAACAGAGTCAGGTACACCTGGGTGCAGGCCCCAGGAGCAAAGACACTGTACAGGTGTACACAGGCCACACAGGGCCTACCTAGGCAGATTTGAGCCAGCTTCACTGGGCAGTGGGCAGTCACAGCAGGTGACTCAACCCCTCTGCCTCACCTGTGAAATGAGGTGGTTAATCCCTCCTGGGAAGGAATTAGTGAGATCTCTAACTCTTCTTCCTCGTCCTAAGGAGCACTAACCACAGGACCTCTTGTCCTCACAGCCAACGAACTGGACACTTATCCTCTTCCCTCTCTCCCAGCCTCAAATAAGACACTCACCCCACTACCAGCAAAACTCTGATTTAGTGGGAACCCATCACTAGACCAGTCCTGGGCATGGAGCCTGAGCCCAGCCCCGGACCAGGTCCTGAAACCCACTTCTGGGAAAGCAGACTGGGCCAAACCTGAATAGAGGGGCAGTGGTCATGGAAGGTCCCCTCCAGTGACTGCTTTACCTTTGTGTGCAGCTTTGCAAACTGCTTGTCATCTATGAGGTTCTGGGCGTAAACTCTCCGCTTGTATCGAAACTGCTCGGATAAAGAAAAGGGGGAGAGAAGGCGCGCACACAGGTCCAATGAGCAAGGGGTGGTGGCCACCACCGCAGGCTGATTCCTGCTCACCACCCTCCTGCCCACACTGTCACTGCAACACAGCCAGACAAGTCCCAGACACACACTTACAGAGGGGACAGACAACAACTGGCAGCTACAGACTACCCATTGCACAGAAACAATGTGTGGTCCGGAGGAGACAGTACTCACTCGGCCAATTCATGGCCTGGCGGGCCTGCAGCCTGTCTGTCTCATTCCCACCTCCAGGACTTGGAAAACTTGACTTCTCTCCCAAGATCTGAAACTAAGCTTCTATTCCTAGACACTTTCTCTCCAAGTAGAAATAACCCAATTCCTGGTGCTACCACGAGGATTGGACCAACTCTGACCTTGGTACACACACACACACACACACACACACACACACAAACATACACACAAAGACCTTCCAATGAGGACCGAATCTCCATCCTGGAGTGGCACTCAAATCACCTTAATGCATCATAAATGGTGTTAATATTTTCGGCTAACCTCCGATGTGCACACAGAGAACACTGTTCACACCGCATGACCCTTAAGGCGCTCAGTCCTTCTCACATTTCTCCCTCCCGTGTTCAAACTGCTCACACCACGCATGCTGAGTGCATGTGCTGCAGGTGCTCATTGTGTGCTGCACACATTGCTTGCTGCAAGTACTCTACACACTGCTCACACCGCTCTCCACGCCTAAGCTGCAACACACCACTTACCACACATGCAGCTCACACTTCACCCTACCCGCTGCACTCAATGTACCCACCTCTGGCTCTCAGCACACTGCTCAGGCTGCACATAGCCCCCCACCGCTCCTGTTGCCAATTCCTCCCCGCCTGCCCTTCACTGCTCCAGCCACGGAGCTCAAAGATCACACCCAGTGCGCTCCATTCCACCCCCCACCCTGGTCTGCCCAGCACCTCCAGATAGGGCAGGGGCGTGTCCAGGTTAGGCGGGTAGTCCTGTAAGAGCCGCTCTTCATCCAGGAACTTGCCGGCGCGACCCCGGGAGGGCGGCTGGAATAGCCCGTAGTTGAGCGCGTCCTGAAGGCTGTGATTGAGGGCGCAGAGCACACGCTGCTTGGCGGCCCACACGGGCGCGGTTGGGTCCAGGCGCAGGCACTTCTGCAGCGGAGTGAGTCGTGAGCACGGACCTGCGAGCGCAGGGCACCCCGCCCCGGGGCCCGCTTGGAGGGCTACTTGGGGGAGCAAGAGCAGGGACCCCGCGCCACCGCGCCGAGGCCGGGGCCCCGCCCCGGGGCTGGGCTTCCAGGGCCCCGCCCCGGCTATGGGGAGGGTCCCGCGGAGGCGGCGGGGGAGGGGCGAGTGGCCGCGGCCGGGGGTCCTGGCGCAGGGCGCGCCCGGCGGGGGTCACCGCTAGTGGGCTGCACAGGGGTACGGCGAGATCGCGAGGGCTCACCGTTTGTTGCAGGTCCGGGATGCCGACGCGCACGACCACGGCGCTGGCCCCGGGGCCGTCCATCCCGGTGCTAGCGCCGGGGCCCGGACTGTTGCCGGCGGAGAGAGGAGCGCACGGGGATTCCGCGCGGCGCCCTGGCCCCCCCTGACCCCCCGCCGGAGCCCCGCCGACCGCGCTACGCGGGAGGGGGCCGGGGGGGGCCGGGGCCGGGGCCAGCGCGGGGGACAGCGGCTCCGGGGGCTCCGCAGGCGCAGCGGCGGCGGCGACGGCGGCACGGTTTAGCTGCATCGGCCCCGGCTTCGAGCGGCGCCTGCCTTCCCCGGGGGCGGGGGCGGCGGGGGGAGGGGGCCCGAGCCCGGAGCTGAGCGGAGGCGGGGAGGGGGCCGCGTCGGAGGCGGGGACGGGAAGCCCAGGGCCGGGAAACTGGGGTCCCCCGCGGGGTCGGGCGGCGTGGGCGTGTGGTGCAGAGGGCGGGGGCCGGGGGGCCCGCGCGGGAGGGGGGGTGGCTGTCGAGGGGGAGTGGCTGACACAGCGGGGGGATGGCACGCCGCGCTTCCGCTGCAGGCGAGCGTCGCAGACCACCGTACTAGGGTGACGGAGGGTTCTGGAGCTGGGTGAGGGACCTCTACGCGTCGGGGCAAGAGGACCACAAGCTGACGGAGAGGGAGAGATAAGCAGGAAAATTGGTGTCCCGGGGTGGAAATCTCCCCAGTCTGCCGACCCCACACTCCAGACCCCGAGGAGGTGGTGGGATCAGCCGGGGAATCGTACTGGGTGGAGGGCCGCAGACCCCAGGCTCGATCAGGGCGGAGCTGCTGTGCCACGGAAGGGCCCCCCAAATCAGCCCTTCTAGCCGCACCCAGGGTGTTCCTCTCGGCCCCCGCTGCAACCGAGTTTGGGGGGTCTGTCCGGACTCTGCGGCCTCCCCAACCCTGGCTGGCCCAACCCTGCAGCTGGTCGCCCCCTCCCCGTCACCTTAGCGACAGCAGGATGGGGGCGCGACCTACGAGGAAGGGCTTAGGGGAGGGGGCGCCACTAGTCTCCACCTGCGACGGGGAACTGAATTTTAGTTTCACACGTTGTCGTGGCAACGCGGGAGGGGGTGACGAGTGGGCGGGGAGGGGAGCGCTGCGAGTGAACCAACTCAGGCGCCGCCCGCGTGGCGTGCCAGCCTTAGCCCGGCACTGCCTCGGAAGTGCCCAACGCGCGGGGACCCCGCTCCGAATGCCCAGAAAGGTGCAGCCCCTGAATGGATGAATTGCCTTACTAATAACAGGGTCTAGTCCTGCCTTCCACAGCACTCTCCCACCTACCTTGACTTACACCCCACCCCCTAACGGCCCCAGAGAGCCACACATCGCTGACGGCACACACTGGACAGCTTTCGCGGAGCAGCCTGGCCGGGAACTCTGCCAGTGGCAGGAAGCATCCCCTCAGCCCCAGCCTCCCCAACCCTCTCCGTGAGCAGCCCTGGATCGCCCACAAAACTGGTTATTCCTGAACATCCCAGGAATAACCTTGGACTGCCCTGGTCCTATACACCTATAGAGCCTAACCAAATCCCACCCCCCTGACCACCTGGTTCACCTTAGACATGCCCTCACCCCACACAGAACAGTGATTGGTTAGATTTGCTCCCCAAAACAGCCTGCATTTCCCCGATCCACCACCTTCTAAAAGTGTTTCGTGACTCCATACAGGACCTTCTGACCAATCCAAACCCCACAGCCCTGTCCTCCATGGACCACCTGGTCCATTCCCACTTGGCTACCCTTGAGAAACAATCTCTCCCCTCAAAAGAACTCTTACCCGGCAGAACTAAGTCTCCAGCGCTTCTGTGCCTCTGTTCCCGGCTGCTCTCAAGCCTGGGTGGACCCCTCAGTGTTGGAGGAAGTGAAGCACCAGAAGGCCCTGACCTCCAAGCCCCTCCCAAGGTCTGACTGAGTGGTGCAACTGAGGGTACCCTAGGGGCTAGGGCAGGATGTAAGAGGGGTTGGAGCAGGATAGGGTCTCTCTTATCTCCAGGAAGCACCTTGGGAAGCTCAGGGCTGGGTTTCCTGTGTCCCAGCCCAGAGAGGAAACTCTGCTTCCTGGCCTGTCGGCCATCTTCTTCCCTCCTCTCTTTCCTCTCCGCCTGACCCAGGCCCCCAACTCCTTCCTGGCTAAACTCAATCCCTCCCCTGCAAATCTCCACCTACCTTTATTTCCAGCCTTCCTTTTCCCTCAACTAGCTGCCTGCTGGCAGGAAATGATGACCAGAATCCTCCAGTGATGAGACTGAAATGGAGGAATCCCGTGCCCTAAATTTGACAGCAGACCCCTTTTGGACATTCCGTAAACCTGTCTTGACCTGAATGAACCCAGAGTCCTGAGTGTTACCCCTTCTGGCTTTCTGTCCAAAACTGGACCTCATGGGAGCCCCTGAGCCTCCTCTGACAACCCCCTTGCTAGGTGAATCTAACTATCCTCATAGGCCTAGCGTCTTTGTTGCCAACCCCTCCGGGGAGACAGCCTGACGGTTTGCTAACCAGCTACCTGCAAACTGTTAGTCTCTTGAACAGGCCCGCCAGACCCCATCTTCCAGGCAGGGTGACACTTTGCCTGGCCCTGCCTTCAAATACCAGTGCCTTTTGCTTACGTCTTCCTTTACCAGGGCCAAAATTCTAGAAAGATCTTATTTTGACCATCCACACATCTTCCCCACCTCCCAGTGCACTTTAAGCTACACAGCTTCAAGAGAGTTGGGGGTGGAGAAGGACTTGTGACTAGTGCATCCAGAATAGTGCATGGTGTGTGGATTGGGAGCAAACATGTAACTCTAGTCCTCAGCCCACTGCCGCACAGCTCCGAGTGCCCACTGCTTAGCATTCGCTGGGGTCTCCATGCTCTGACTCTTCCACATCCTAAGTATAATCTTTCTTTCCATTCCTACTCCCATCCCACCTTCGGGTCCTCTGGTTGACCTCACTTGACCCGTAGGCTCCTCTGTATGCTAGCTGGTTTGCCTCTCTTCCACCTTCCACCCATCACCCCTGCACACACCTCACTCTTGCCACTCAGCTGACCCTGGCCTGTCCCCTAGGTTACCGAGTGCATGGACCTCTTGCTGAACGGCTCACAGGCAAGCTTCTGTCTAGTCTAACCTGTCTCCTGCTGAAGCTCTTCCTTGAATTTCCGTAGTATTCTACACTCACCTAGAGAAAGTTCTCATCTCCTAGATGTCCTTCTCCCAACCTGCATCTTTCCCTTTGTGGACCCACCTCACCCCTATGTTTCTTTACTGAGTGCACTGATCTGGTTTCTCTTCTGTAAAGCTGCCATTATCTTTCGACACGCTGTAATTCCTAAATTTGTTGCTCAGCATCTCTCTTTCCCTGCCAGAAGGTGGGCTCCCTGCAGAGAGGTCTTAGCCTTTCCATTTCTGCTGTGTCCAAGCTGTGTTACACAGTTTGTTTACTGTAAGTAAGCCAGAGATTAAACTAGCGTCTACAAGATAACACCGAACTTCTCTTGACCTCCTTGCTGTGCAGCAGCTGGAACTTCGGGTACTGGAGTAACGACAAAGTTGTCTGGATCCTGTGTGTGTGTGTGTGTGTGTGTGTGTGTGTGTGTGTGTGTGTAGTTTTTATTGCTCCTGGTTATATAATATCTAAAGGTAGATTCATATTCTATCTCATCTTGAGTCTGATTTTTTCCCCCCAGGAATCAGAATCTCTTTAGATTCAGCTTTTTCGGTTTGTGTTTTATGTTGGTTGAGAAAGTCTTGCTCTGTATCCCAGGCTGCCTCAGACTTAACCATCAGCGCATCAGCCTCCAAGTTTTGGGGTTTGTTCGTCTCTTTTCTTTCATTGTACACTGTTATGTTTCTCTCTACTTTTCATTCCTGCTAAACCCCCTAGATATTTATCCGATTCGCTTCAGTGACCCCTTTTCCTCTAAGTTCTTCACAAGCATTCAGCACTGTTAATTTCCAATATCATTTGCGTTAGAATGTTGATATGTAATGCTTTTATTTCATTTTGTACTGATTTTCTGATGTCGTATAGTTTGGCTCGAGAATTACAGGAATGTGCTTATTTAGGTTTTCAAATGTTTACTATATTTTTGTGGAAGATTAATGATTTCTTCCTGCATTATAGTCAGGAAAGATGGTCTGAACAACACTGATATTTGTGCAGTTTGCAGAGGTTTCCCTTGTATCCTGAAACTGAAGGAAGAAAAATAACAAGTTCTAGGCCAAGTTGGACCACATAATGAGATTACATCTCAAAAACCTAAGCAAGCCAGGCATGGAGCACAAGTGGTTCTCCAAGTTCAAAACTAGCCTGATCTACTGAGGGAGTTCCAGGTCAGCCAAAGCTATACAAACCCTGGGGGGTGGAGGGGATGGGACCGGAGAGATGGCTGAGCTGTTAAGAGCTCTTACAACCCTTGGAGAGAACCCAGTTCAGTTCCCAACACAAACATGATGACTCAGTGATCTGTAACTCCAGTTCTAGTGGTTCGGATGCCCTCTTCTGGCCCCTGTAAGAACTGCATGTATTCAGTGCACATACATAAAGTGCAAGCAACACACTCCAATACATAGAATTGTTTAAAATCTTTTTTTTAAGGTTTAATACATGTGATATATGTTTAATACATGTAATATACCCTTTTTCAGCATTAAAAACCAAAATAAAGGCAGTCTAACCATTTGCATTTATGTGTTTATTGGGATTACTGATCATCTTAACTAATTTCTCTCATGCATTTTGTGCTGTCCTTTCTGTGTGGCTTTCTTCTGTTTCCACCTCCCGATTAATCAAGTTTTCTTCATTCCTCTTTTCTTCCTCTCCCGTTGGGTGGGAAATGATGCCGTCTCTTTTATTTTCACAAGTATACTTAAATTCCATAGTTAATAAAAATTAAAGCTAATTAGTATCCCCTTTCTCATATAATAAAAAGAATTTATAGCAAGTTCCAATTGATCTTCTCATCCTACAGGTCTTTGTCTTTCCGTTTTTTGTCACTGTTCCCCGGCGTAAAACAGTAAGAACTTCTTCAGTCTTCATCGTATGTTGATGAGTTTCTTTACTTGCCCTTCTTCCTTGACACTCACTCTTAAAACAACTGGAGCTTAAATCACCCTCTTGAAAATACATCCCTTAGAGATTTCCCAGGACTGGCTTGTAAAGTGTGGTGAAAGCTTTGTCTTTCATTAAAATGTCTCATTTTGCCCCTACTCTTGTTTTGTTTTGCTTTCGTTTGAGATTTTAAGATGTATTTTATTAATTATGTGTATATTTGTGTCTGGGTGTGAATTTGTATGTGTCAGCATAGGTGACCCCAGAGACCAGAAGAGGATTGTGACATCAAGTCCCCTGCAAGAGCAGAACACACAATTGATCGCCAAGCTCATAGGCTCATAGATCTGAATGCTTGATCACCAGGGAGTGGTACCATTTGAAAGGATTAGGAGGTGTGGCCTTGTTGGAGGAAGGAAGTGTGTCACTGGGGTTGGGCTTTGAGGTTTCAAAAAGTCCATTCAGAGGCAGCAGGGACAGGCAGATCTCCCTGAGCTCAAGGCATCCTGGTCTACAAAGCAAATTCCAGCACAGCCAGGATTTTACACAGAGAAACCAAGTCTCCAAAAATAAACAAACAAAAGTCCATGCCAAGGCCAGTCTCTCTTCCTGCTGCCTGTGGATCCAGATATAGAACTCTCAGCTGCTTCTCCAGCATCATGTCCACCTGCCTCCATCATGTTCCAGTCATCATGACAATGGACTAAACCTCTCAAACTGTAAACAATTAAATGCTTTCTTTTATAAGAGTTGCCATGGTCATGGTGTCTCTTCACAGCAAGACTAAGACACAGAGTCTTACCAAACAGCCTGGTCTGGCTTAAAACTTGCAATCCTCCTGCCTCTGCCTCAGCGATGGGATTGTAGATCTATACCACCATACTTACAGATGTCCTAACTAGGGTTTCTAATGCTGAGATGAAATGCCATGAGATGAAGCACCATGACCAAAAAGCCGGTCAGGGAGAAAAAGGTTTATTTGTCTTACACTTCAGCATTGCTGTTCATCCCTGAAGGAAGTCAGGACAGGAGCTCAAACAGGGCAGCATCCCAGAAGCAGGAGCTGATGCAGAGGCCATGGAGGGGTGCTGCTTACCAGCTCTCTTCCTCTAGTTTGCTCGGCCTGCTTTCTTATAGAACCCAGGCATGGCACCACCCACAATGGCTGGGCCCTCCCTGTTGATCACTAAGTGAGAAAATGCCTTACAGTTGGCTCTCTCATGAAGGCATTTTCTCAGTTAAGGCTCCTTCCTCACTGATGACTCTAGCTTGTGTCAGGTTGACACACAAACCCAGCCAATAACCTTTATTTTTTGAATGACAACTGAGTCGATACTATAATCCTAAACTAATAATTACTTTCCTCAAAGTTTTTTGAAGTCTTTTTTTCCCCTCGTTCTTGTGGTACTGTGGCTAGAACCCAGGGCCTTATGCATGCTGAGTAAGCACTCTACCATCGAGCTACATCCCCAGCCCACTGTGAAGCTTTCTTTCTGTGTGCTACCTTCTGGATAGTATTGAAATTCTTACTCCTATAACAGAATTCTCTTTAACTGTGTTTAATTTGCTATCAACCCTATTTGCGTTCTAGGAACTGTAATTTTTATTTTTAGAAACTCCACATGGTACACTCTTAAATCTTCATGTTCTTTTTTTTTTTACCTTTTTTTTTGTTTTCACTTATTTCAATTTCGAAGTTTCTTTCATTCTTAGTCTTTTCAAATGTATCTATCGCCAGGCGGTGGTGGCGCACGCCTTTAATCCCAGCACTCGGGAGGCAGAGGCAGGTGGATCTCTGGGAGTTCGAGGCCAGCCTGGTCTACAGAGCTAGCTCCAGGACAGGCTCCAAAGCTATACAGAG